TCTAGTAAATACAGAAGCATGTATGAAAAGATCAACAGATCTTTGAATGAAGAAAATATCTTAAATTATGAAGTTTTAATTTGAGAAGTCTAAGTTAACAATTTACCAAGATGAATGCTTAAATAGTTTAAAAAGTTTTGTATAGGGGAGTGGGTTTTGTATAGCTCCAAAATCTTGGTTTTAGGCTGACAAAAAAATTGATTTTACCATAATATGACTTACCTGAGGTGATTTTGCATAACAAATTTTTGTTTTTTTTTTTTAAATTTAACTTGCCTTAGCAAGCAAGGGCCCTTACATAATATGAAACTATGTTTGATCAAGTCTGGCCCAGTAGTCCACATACATCACAAATACCTTTGTTTCCATAGCCAAATTTTTTTTGATTTATATGTTTTTTTATTCAATCTGTTACAAAGAAGAACAATAAGAACAATTTATGGGTTAAAATGTTAAAATAATAAAAATAAAAAAGCAGATTGGATGGAATGTAAAGGCCTCCCAGCGGACGTACTACAACATGAGTAGGACTTTAAATTAGGCTAGCAGGTCACAACACCACTGTCTTTTAAGTCTTTTAATTGGGTTACCTGGGATAAAAGCAGATGAAAGATCAGAGATTAAGGGATTCTTATGGTGGGCTAGGCGGCTATTGAAACATTCACAGTGAGTTTTGGCTAGTTCAGAGACAAATGGTATTTTGAGATCAGAGTGGAGGGTGTGGTTAGAGACATAGAATAGTGCATAACCAAATGAAATGGTATATTTATTACATGTTTAATCTTTTATACTTTCAGGAAGTATTACGATCTCATGGATTAAAAAATGAAAAGGATTTAAGAAAATTAATTACTGATCTTCAAACTAGAATTGATAGGGCAAAATCAAAAATTGCAGCTGCTTCTCTTAATGCTTCCAATGTTGAAGAACACGTAACAGAAGAGCCTAAATTAAGACTTTTTAAAAACAAAATTCAATTACCAAAAGAGGAATCTGTATCAAAAATTTGGCTTAAAGATATATATAAAAAAAGGCAAGATATAATAGATAAAAAAACGGTTAGAAAACAGCGTAGACAAGATATGGCTAAGAGAGGAACAGCTGCATCTTTAGAGCGAATGCGACTAATTAGTCAGCTAGCACGAAAAGATAAAAGAGATGATGATTTTGGTAGCAGAGATGAAGACTGGGATGTTTACAAAGTTATAAATAAAGTATGTTCATTGTTAACTTTATTCTGTTTAAAAATTTTTCTTTGTTATTCTAATTTTTAGTCTGTACTAGATTTACGATTTTAGTTTATTTTTTACTGATACAAATTATTATTGGATTGACTCCTCTTTAATCATGTTCCTTCAAGACAAATTATTTAAGTATATTAAAATGAATTCCATTTTGTTCTAAAATATCATCTTGTTGCTAAATATGAATTTCAAGTCAAGTAAAAATTTTAGAGTGGTAGGTTGATAATAAACAAAAACATTTTTCTAATAATTCAAAAATTAATTTTTTGAAATAAGTATTAATATTATTCTGGAAGTATTTTCGCAGTATCAACAAATACAAATGACATACACAATCCAGTTTTGTTTTGTCAAAGTCTATGACATCCCATTACTTTAAGTTTAGAGATTTGACCATTCTTCTGATTTAATAAAAATATTATTTAAAATCAAAATACTTTGACACAATTTTATGAATCTTTATCTCAACCTTTATATTAACTAAACTAAGTAAACCCACAGACATAGAATACATACTGGTTGCATACTAAATAAGTGATAATTAATTTAAAAATGTATAATAATACTATATTAATTATAATTATTACTATAATTTTATTTTAGTAATATTATAAATATGTGAAAAATATATATAAATTGAATTTGAATATAAAGAAAAATGTTTAAATATAAATTTTAGGAAGGTGGTGACACTGACAGCGAGGAGGAACAAGAAAAAATCTCAGAGCTTGAGGAGGTTTTACGATTTTATGATCCAACATTTGTTAGCTCTAACACCAATGAGGAACAAAATCCAAAAGAAGCTCATCAATTACATTTTGGTATAGAGCGTATGAGATGTACAGAAGTACTTTTCCAACCATCAATAATTGGTTGTGGTCAAGGTGGAATAACTGATACTATAGAATTCATTTTGAAAAAATATAATGTCCAAACAGCTAATGATATAGCAGAAAATGTTTTCTTAACTGGTGGTCCAACTAAATTGCCCGATTTCAAGCAACGAGTATATAGAGAACTCCGGGAAATGAGACCATTAGAATCTAATATTAATGTAAAATTATCTGACTCCCCTTTTCTAGATGCTTGGTCTGGTGCAAGAGAATTTGCTAATAAGCAAGATTTTCATAAATATTTGTTAACACCTGAAATGTATGCAGAAATGGGTGGTGATTATTTTATTGAAAACTCTTGTTCCAATATGTATTGTCCGCTTCCTGAAGCTGTTCAAGAACCTGAGGGGTTAAGTGAACAAAATATAGAAATTTAATTATTTTTAAAATATGATTAGTATGTGATATATGCACATAATTTAATTATTTTTAAAATATTATGATTAGTATGTGATATATGTACATAATTATTTATTATCTGCTATAGTTAATCATTGTAAATAAATTAAAAACTATAAACAATTTATGAATCAATAATAAATAAATCATAACCTAATTAATACTTATTATAGTAAGATAAGTGTTGTTATATTTATGCCACTCTATTTGATTATATTATTCAATAATTTATAATTTTACATTATGAATGCTTCACAATTTTAAATCTAATATAGAGTTCAATATAGAGTATAGACATATCATAAAGAGTTAAAAAAGAATGTGTGTATGATGTAATTTTGTTGTGTGTGAAAATGTTAAGTGTCTACGCTTGTTTATTTTTTAATTACAACAAAATATCAAAATTCGATTTAGGAGAAATAGTTCATTTACGGGTGAATATCCAATGTAAAAAATATTTAGAGAAAATTTGAAGTACCTACGGTTATTTAAACAGCTCAAAAAGAGTCAAAATATTTTGAAAATGTTATCAAGTATAAGAATTGATAATATAAACATTCAGTGAAATTTTCATATATCTACAATTATTCGTTTTTGAAGTACAACAAAGTAAGAAAATCGTTTCAAAAAAAAACTAATAAAACTGGAAACTGAAAATGTCCATAAACAGTTCAAAATAAATCAAAATATTTTGAAAATTTTATCGTGTATAGAAAATGCAAATATAAACAACCAGTGAAAATGTCATGTATCTACGGTCATTTGTTTTAAAATTACACCAAAAATCGATTTTGAGTAAAAATTTCCGTTTTACCTTAATTTTTTTTTTTTAAATTTAAAATCTAATAAAAGCTTAAAATAAATAAATAATTTAATTTTGTATAATTATAATTAATAATAATTAGGAATTCACAGTAGAACTGTTGTAGAAGTTCTTCCTTTCACTGACTAATATAAAATGACTAAATATTGAAATAGGAGTATCTACCTAGGTACCTATAAATATGACGATTGACGAGACTACGGGAGCCTTTAAAATATAATAAATTTAGAATCCTAATTTTAACTTTAACATGTAGCTATAATATTTAGTAATAATGATCGATTTTCAAAACTACTATGTTGATATTGACTTGTGTGCTGATATGGTTGTATAAGCAGCAGTATAAACTATAAAGTATAAACAACTATCAATATTCAATACAAATAAAAACACAATATTATCGGCTACTGCCTACTAATATCACTCGGGTACCCGGGCGAAATATTACGTAATATTATAATGACATAATATTCTTAAACACTTGTAAATAATAATTGTAATATTTGTATAATACACAATACCTACACTATAAAATAATATATACTATATAGCCACTAACCACTATAATGTATTTATAGTCATAAAACTTTTTTGTGCATATTCTAGTAAATCGTAAATACATATGGTATATTTTATTCTGGGATTCGCGCCCCTTTTTCGTTGCGCCCCTGGCCTGGGCCAGTCTCGCCAAGCCCTAGCTATAGCTCTGAATACAACCAGCAAAAATGTCATGTATATACGTTCATTTGATTTAGAGTTAGGTACACTAAAAACCAAAATCGATTTTGTGGAAAACCGATTTTGCTTAAAATTTCATGTTTTTCCTTAATTTTTATGTATTTTTTCCCGGCGCTTTTGAAAAGTATTGGGAATTTTAAATTTTGACCTTCCCAAACCACCAACAATATTCACTTTCCCACCGAACAAGATACTGAAGTTGAAAATCAATGCAGTATTTCGACTACTCATCGTTTACACAGACACAAAAAATAAAAAAATAACACATTGTAAAATCAATACATTCATCATTCCACTCAGTATTGTTAACTGTCAGGATTTAACAACAACAATATATTGAAAAATTAACTTTTATTCAAACACTTTATCACAAGTTCACAACGGTACAATTTTGGCGGGCACAGGTGACAGCAGACAGGTCGCCTGAGCCGCACAACACCAACTGGTTTACTCTCACTAGGTAACAATATCTGCAGCACGAGCAACAACAACAGTACCGCTCCTAGTGGGAGTTTACATTCGACCATCCTGATGTAGTCTGTCGCCCTCGACAGAGAACCTTACAACACTAAGTACAAGGGTACAACAATCCTTAACGACATAGAGAAAAAAAAAAAACAAATTAACAAATAAATAAATCTCTTAGAGAACATAAATTGACAGAAACAGTCTTTGATTCATAATTAAAGATTAATGGTTAAAATACATTATGTAAACAAAAGGGAAAGAAAGGTTTACAATAGCAACCATTAATAAGTTAGCTCATTTACAATAATTAAACATTTTTTTTTTTTTTTTTAAATAAATACACCATGAGCGTTTAAATAAACACACAATTTTAGCTCATATTAACAATTAATTAGGTAGTTGAATATAGGAACATTATCATAGGAACAGTATTGGTTAGGAACAAGTATCATAATCTTTAAGCCAGACGGGTGGACGAGGTTCACGGCGTGGTCTACCTTCCTTCTGAACAACAACGGACTCAGGTCTATCAGCATCCTGGTTTGACATTTCTGGAGTAGTGGCAGCGTCTCCAGGGACATTGGCCTCAGCCGCAAGCCTGCCTTCTTCTTCAGCATCAATCAGCTTCCAGGATTTCAACTGAGCGACATGAGCTGTGGTAGCAAACCTACTTGGTCGACCACTGTACAAATCAGTAACTCTATAGATGTCTCCAGGAAGTACCTCTGAAACCACTAACGGTCCCCTGTAGCGGTTTTGTAATTTGGTGGATTCTCCTGTAGAGTTGGGAGCCCTCTTCATCACGACCACCTCTCCCACTTGGTAATGAGTATTATCATGCCGTCGAGCATCATATGCTATTTTCATTTTTCTTTTGGAAACTTCCATAGCTTGGTGGGCTCCAATGCGCAATCCTTCTGGCGGTGTCCAATCATCAACAGTAGTGGATAGCCCGCGCAGAGCTCCCAAGTGGAACCGCGGCCTATAGCCGTGTAACATTTCAAACGGTGTTCTTGTTGTAGTCTTACTTTCACTGTTGTTTATGACTCTCTGGACGTCAGGGAGTAACTCAGACCAACCATCAGGATCTACTCCAGCAGTTCGGAGTGCTGCCATGACAACACTGTGAGAGCGCTCTACCTGGCCGTTAGCTTGAGGGTGGCGCGAAGAATTCCATATCAGCACAATGCCTCGCTGCAGACAGAACAGTTCGAACGCACCCGAAGTGTAGCAGCTCCCACGATCCGTGACAAATCGACGGGGTAGTCCATAGGTATCAACGAATAATTGCACTCGTTCAATCAGTTGATCAGCACTGGTGTCTTTCACTGCGTACAAGGAAATGAACTTAGTAAAGTTATCTACTATCGTAAGTACATACTTAAATCCGTCGGGAGTAGTCACAAATGGACCAACATGATCAATGTGAACGGTGTCGAATGGCCGCTTCCCAATAGGTATAGGATGGAGGTAGCCAGGTCGCTTTCCACGAGGATCCTTAGTCAGCAAGCACTGAAAACAGACATTAATGTGCAATCGCACGTAGCGCCGCATCCCGGAAAACCAAAAATCTTGTAATATATTGGCCATAGTAATATCTACAGCCGGGTGACCACTAAGGTCATGCGCGGTGACCACAAGGCTCTTCCTCATACTCTTGGGCATCACAAACAACAACTTATCGCGGTAGCGTCGATACAGCAACCCACCTTTTAGGACAAACTCACCGCAGGTGTCGCCGGTTGTACTCATGTCCAACTTGACACGGGCAATGTCAACATCTGACGACTGACACATCGCCACTCTTTCTTCTTCAGACAATAGAACACCAACGACATCGATCCGTTCTGCCAATACATCATCCAGCGGTGGTTCTTCAGTTGAGACCGGAGCTCGAGACAGGGCGTCCACATGAGTCATCTGGTGACCGGCCCTGTACTTCACCTCATTGATATCTACAGTCATCAAAGGCGTACAGCCTAGCTCACCTAGGTCCTTAGCGAAGCATTCAAGGTATTCGTTCACGAGTTCGATCAGCTCTTCACGTTCAACAGCAGTTGCATCGAGTTTAACATACCCAAAATCAGCCTCCATCAATGGCAAACGAGCTGGGATCACATGTTGTTCCACAGTATGTATAAAATCGGCGTCACAGCCAACAGTTGTAACGGTGGTTTCCGTCTGGCCCGAGCACGGCTCAGCTCGATATAGGTGCAGCTGACCATCGACCTTACGGTACTCTACCGAGGGCATATCTAGCCACTCACGCCCTATTATCACGTCGGGCTGCTGCACGGTATCTGGCACAACTAACATGGACACTTGTCCGGGACACACATCATCCACAGCAATCTCGGCATAAGCCATACCGACGGCTCGCACGGAAGGAATAGTGGTACTGCCCAACCCATACAACGACTTGTCAGTAGGCTTCACCGAGAGACCACAGCTTATGGCAACGCTCGCCTTGACCAAATTATAATGGGAACCCGTGTCAAGCAAAACGTCCACTTCTTGGCCATTGATTCGCCCAACCCTCCGGTAGGGGTGGCTTCTCGTCTCACGTGCTACCACAGCCACGCTCGACTGGCCCCGTTCCGGACAGTTCGGCCGAATGTGACCGACGACACCACAACCATAGCAGGTGGCAGACCTTCGACGCGTCGGACAGTCCCTTGAGAGATGTCCAACGGTTCTACAATTCCAGCACATCGCAGCACTGTTGACCGAACTTCCTGACGACACACTGGCGATGGACGGTTTTGGTTGTACCGGATGGACGGCAGGCCGTGAGCCCCACGAAGTCGAACTCTTTACAACAGATTGCGTCTTCGTGAACTCCGCCTTACGTTCGAAGCCTACCGTAGGTTGGTGCAACGCGTTCATCCGGTCCCACGAAAGCATGTCTTCGAGTAGCTCGTCCTCATCAACGTGCCGTCGACCAACGACATACAGCGCCAAGTTCCTCGCATACAAACCGCGGAGGAGATAATCTTTCGAGTCTTCCAATGACAGGGACAGTTCGCGACACATGCGCATCTTCGGTTGGAAATAGTCCATCAAGGCTTCATTTTTGCCTTGTTTGCGGGCTTTCATCAGATCCAACCTATCGGACACACTTGATGCACGCACAAACGTCTTCCTAAATTTTTTTTCAAAGTCGGTCCAATCGCAGAACGAGCGACCCATGAACCAGTCCTTCGCAGCAGCTTCTACGTGCATGCGTAGGTATTGCAGTGTATATGAAAACGGCCACGCGTTGACGGACGCCAACCCTTTAACGGCTAACAGCCAATCCTCAGCCATGACGGAGGTTTCTCGTCCGTGGAACTTTTCAACGCCTTTAGCCAGGTCTGACACCACGCGAAACTCGAGAGGTTCTCTGGGTTCAGGCTTCTTCTGGTCCGTCTCAACCTTAGCGGTGAGTGACGACTTCAATTTTCCAAGTTCGTCGAGAACAGCGGCACTATTGTCTGCCGTCTTCAACTGCGTGGTCAACCGCTCAACGAGAGACACCAAATCATTATACGTCGGGGCTGTGATACTCACAGGATTTACAGACTTTCCTTCTTTACCGTCGGACATTATCAGTCCGCAACAATAACAATAACAATAACGATAATATCAACGATGATAATGGTATCACTGTTGTCAGTTTGATAACGCACAGTTACCACGGTATCGTTACCAACCCAGGTGGTTGTAATCACGCGTTTAAGGTTACGTGCGTAATTCGGTAGTACCAACCTCGTGTTCTGCACTTCTGCCGCACGATGCACCGCGACCTTGAACAACAAATACGACTTGACGAACGCAACAACTTCGATTTTCGAACACAACGACGACGGCAAAACAATTTCGATTAACGCACGAACTAGCACCCTACGGCCTACAAAGTTAAACGTGCAATACGGACAACCACTACTATCACAGAATAGAACGTTACTGAGTATCGATACTCACTCTAGACGCACATTCGCATCCCACTTCTGAAAATATATTATTATGTTAACTGTCAGGATTTAACAACAACAATATATTGAAAAATTAACTTTTATTCAAACACTTTATCACAAGTTCACAACGGTACAATTTTGGCGGGCACAGGTGACAGCAGACAGGTCGCCTGAGCTGCACAACACCAACTGGTTTACTCTCACTAGGTAACAATATCTGCAGCACGAGCAACAACAACAGTACCGCTCCTAGTGGGAGTTTACAGTATCTAAAATATCAATTAACTCTGATGACTTTTGAAGCAGTATTTTATGCAGTACCTAATTGAGTAAACATAAGCCTTGCTTATATGTACCTAAGTGTATTAGTAGAAAATAGATTTTATAATGGATTAATTATAATTACAATTTAATACATAAAAAATAATATAGGTATATAGTAATATCATTTTTTATTTACAGTATCACATAAATATACATTTATTTATTTGTTTAAATAAAAGACCTCTTTCTAGTAGTTGAGAAGATTTACCCATCCTATCTAATACTCCTTCTAAATTAGGTGAAATATCTTTTTCGCAAGATAAAAGCAGATAAAAACATTAGTGATTCCAATCTATTCTTTATAATCTTTACCTGAGCGGTGAGGTATCTATCCTCCTGAAAAATGTCTAGGGCTAAGCAATTGCATTAGGTAAACGTCGTTCACCAAGCCATTGCCCAAGACTGTCCATATTTAAGCCCATAGCACATGTAGTATTAAAAAAAAAAAAACTACTGAACAAGAAATAAATAAATGCGGCCCCACTGGGAGCGATTCTGCGTTTCGAGCGTTTCTGTGATTTTACACGCGCGATGTCCATTAGTGATTTTGATGGGGACACTTTAGCGATTTTACATGCGTTTCTAAATTTTTTCCATAGCGCGTGTTCGTTTTAGTTTTTAGTTTTCATTTGCTTATTCGGTCGTCAACCAAGATGACGTCCCGAAAAATGTTACTGGCTGAAAGTGCTTCTTTAATTGATATTAAAGTAAATTTGGCTAAGAAACGTTTATGGGTTCACGAAATAAATAAGCATAGACTATCTGAAGGGGAATTTCATACACTATTCAGTAAATTAAAAAATCATCCTGTCAAGTTTTTTGAGTACTGTCGCATGAGTGAACCTACTTTTTATATAATTTTGGAAGCTATAAGAAGCGAAATCGAAAAAGAAGACACCAACTTCCGAAAAGCAATACCTGTAGAAGAAAGGCTATTTCTTACATTGAGGTAAGTTATTTAAATAAATATAATTAAGTGAATAATATATCGAGTGTCTTAAATCTCTATTAAATAACTTTTGTTCAACTCATTATTTTTCACTTAAACAAAACGAATAAATACCACAACACTGAAACTACAACAATAATATATGTTTCTAAAATTCTAAATACTATAACTATAAAAATAATTGTTCTATAACTTCTATAAATTCTAAATAATTTGTTTTTGGGCCTCAAACTTTAATTGTTATTAAAAATATTTATTGTTGAAGCTTGGTATTAAATTATTTAATTATTTAAAAATAAAATAATTACGAGTTAATAACAGGTTTATTTTAACAGGTATATTTTAAAAACCGATTAACCCGTGGTGTACCTAGAATATATAAGTACCAACATTTCACTCATAAGTTGTATTCATACTAACTTACAACATACTTATTTAATTCATATTAGGTCAGGGTTGGACTAGCCCACCGGGATACCGGGAAATTTCCCGGTGGGCCGCAGCAAAAAGTGGCCTACCGGCGTACCGCCGTAACTATTAATATATTATATTGGACCTCGAGTCCATGGTGGTTATCTTAATTTGATAAAAGAAAATTTATTTCAATCGTTATTTTATGGAATTTAATATATTTTATATCAATTTAAATTGATAAAAGGACAGAAATAATTATTGTATTATTATGAACAAAATTAAACTACCTAGTCTTTATCACGGTCGGATACGGTGTGATATCAATGATGATAACAATTGTGGCCTCAACAATTATATTATTAACGTACCTACCAACCACGGTTCTGTTTACCGATGCGCTATGATACAATAATTATATTATATAATATTATGAATGTTTAGGAAACTTGAAATTATTAGCTGATAATTCTAAAAATACACACAATCAGGAATATGATAAGTTATTTTACGAAAATATTAAATAGGTATACTCGTATATTTTATAGTGTATACACAAACATACGTAGGTACATTGTTTAAAAGGCGAGTGAATTGTGTAATACAATCAATACCACAACTTAGTAAAGTTATATTTTTAATTTTGTTAGGTATCTATTTTTTATTAGTCACGAGACTGTTTTTATCGTACGTGTATTTCTTGTTGCCGTTCTTGTTTATTTTTTTTTTTTTTAATAATGAATAGCAGAAATGATAAAAAAAGAAAACACTGCGGAGGTGCAGAAAAAATTAGAGCTTTAAACAAAAAGAAGTTGGCCTTAGATGCAGAAAAATGTTTAAAAATTAATAATATGTTTAAACACTTAAAACCTGTTTGTGAGACTATGCCTGATGAAACAGTAAGTTATACTGATAATAACTCATTTTTGTGAAAAAAAAAATGTTTAAATGTGAATGATAGGTATTTATTATTTTTAAACTTCTATAGGATACAAAAAGAGCTGTTGGTGTTTCTGATAAACCTCAATTTGAAAATGTTGGTCCACATATGCCTGATGAAACAGTAAGTATATACTAAATTTTTTGTTGGAATAAAAGTTGATAGCTAAATTTAAAATTATTTTTGTAAAAAAAAAAATGTTTAAATATGAATGATATGTATTTATTATTTTTAAACTTCTATAGGATGCAAAAAGTGCTGTTAGTGCTTTTTACATACCTCAATTTGAAAATGGTAGTCCTTCTTGTTCAAGAGATGATTTCAATTATTCAAGGGACTCTAATAATGAGCACATGTTTAAAAGACCAAAATCAAATGAAATTAAACATTTTTTTGAGTTTCATAAAATCCAAGATTTTAATAAAACTGAACAACAACCATTCAACTATAAGAAAACCTTTTTTCGGCCTGATGGTAGTTTACGTTATTGGCTTACTTATAATGAAAACAAAAAATACTTTTTTTGTTCAGTATGTTTGGCATTTGCTAAAAGTAATGACGAAAGCAAGTTTATATCAGGAATGAATGATTTTAAACATTTATATTGTAGAATTAATGATCATGAAAATAGTAAAAATCATTATTATTGTGTTGATACCTATATGATGCATACAAAAGAAAAAAGTATTGATGTTTTATTATTTAAAAATCAATTAACTAAAAGAATGCAAGAAGTTGAACACCGTAGAATGATTTTTCAAAGGATTGTAGATGTTATTAAGTTGATTGGTAAACGTGGCTTAAGTTCTCGAGGAGCATATGAATCAGCAAAAGACTTGGCTAATCCTAATGTCAGTCATGGAAATTTCCTCGATATATTACTATTATTAGCCAAGTATGATGCACCATTGGATGAACATATTAAATTAGTCATAAAAAAAGCAAGTGACAACAAAACTCCTGGAAGAAGTCAAAATGTAACTCTTCTATCAAAAACATCAGCCAACTATGTCATTAAATCAATTTCAATACTAATAAAAAAACAAATTAGTGAAGATATTAAAATGTCTGGTATGTATTCTATTCAAATTGATACAAGCCAAGATGTATCTGTATCTGATATCTGTTCAGTTATAGTAAGATATGTATCTTCAACCTATAAATCTGGAGTAGAACCTGCTATACACGAAAGAGCATTGTCATTTTTAAATCCAAAAAAAACTACTGGTCAAGCATTATGTGATTTAATATCAAATAATTTATCAAATAATTCAATTGATGTTAAAAAATGCATTGGAAGTTCAACTGATGGTGCATCAAATATGATTGGACAATATAATGGTTTTTCTAAATGGCTAGAAAAAGAATCGCCTAAGCAACTTCATGTGTGGTGTTATGCTCATTGCCTTAATTTAGTCATTATAGAAGCTACAGGAGTTTCAACTCCAGCTATATCATTATTTGGTCTATTAAATAGTTGTGCTGCATTTTTCAGAGATTCACATAAACGAATGGATTTATGGCGTAATTTATCATCAGATAGTCGTGTATTGAATTTAATTGGACAAACCAGATGGTGGTCTAAAGATGCTGCATTGAAAAAAATGTTTGGTTCATTTAATGAACCTTCTCATTCTTTATATATAACAGTAATAAAAATTTTTTCTATCATTTCTTCAAACAATGAAGATTTTAATAATGATTGTAGATGTACTGCAATGTCACTGTTGCAATCTTTAACAAAATTTGAAACAATTCTTACAGCACAATTATATTTAAAAATATTTCAGAGAACTACACCATTATCTAAATATTTACAGACTGATGGAATGTTTATTTTACAAGCTCAACAGATGGTCAGTTCAACATTAGAGTTTTTAAAAAAGGAAGCAAGAAATTTTGAAGATATTTTAAAGGCAGGTAAAAATTTTGTAAAATGGGCTAATGATTTAATTGAAAATGAAGATGAAATTAATAATTTGATCCCGGATAATTTGCCAAATGTGCGGATACGTAAGAAAAAAACATTGTTTGGCGAGAACCACAATGAAACTGTTACTGAAACTGCTATTGACTTGTTTAAATTTAATGTTCATAACACAGCGATGGATACAGTGATTTGTAAACTAGAACAACGTTTTGCTAAACACGCTGAAATATGTTCAGATTTTACATGCTTAGATCCTCGTCAATTTTCAAAACCATTGCCCACAACTGCTCTTTTCAAACTTAGTAAAGTTCTTGGATTAGAAAATACTTCTATTTTAAGGGAAGAATTTCTAGATTTTACCAAAAAATGGGATAAGCTTAAATTAAATTTACCTGAAGTATATGCAAGTTATAGAAGTGATGAGGAAAATGAACTTCCAGAATTAGATATAGAATATTTGCAAGAAAATGAGTTTGAACAAAATCTATGCAAAACAAATAAACGGTGTTTAAATTGTTTTCTTTGCTGTTTTAATGTATTGTTTAAATATAGATTATATGTTAAAGCATATAGCAATTTATTTTTAGCTTATATGTATATTTTAACACTATCATGCACTCAGGTAGGCTGTGAAAAGAGTTTTTCTACCTTAAGTTTTATTAAAAACCGACTTAGAAACCGTCTATCGATGGAAAATCTGGATGCATGGATGTTAATGCATTTAAATAAAGATATTTTGGAAACATTAACATATGAAAACATTATTGAGGAAGTGATAAAACATAGCTCAGTATTCAAAAAAATGTTGGTTGTTTAAAAATATATATTACCTACCTACCTTTACAAAGAATTATTATTATTTTTATTAAATAATTTATGTATTCTGCTTTGATGAAATTTTTTATGTTTTGTTTGACAATGTATTTATATTAATTGTTTTTTTATTATATTATATTTAAAAAATAAATAACTCATGACAAAGGCTAGTCATACACTTAACACAATATTTTTTTTTCTTGAAGGGGGAGCTTATATTTATTTCCTTCTTATAAATTATATTTTTAGATAATTCACTATTAACTAACATTTTTTTTTATAATAGAGATTGACAGCTTGTCCCCTTAGGTTCAACTACGTGGCTGATCAAAAGAAGCAGGGCCGCCAAAAAATAGAATTTCCCGGTACACATTTTGGGGCTAGTCCAACCCTGTATTAGGTACGTAATAGTCATTATAATAAAACATCGTAATTTTTCACTAAAATAAAATGATCAAGATAAGCACTCAACAAACATATTTAATGACATAATATAATTAAAAAAAAACTTAAAAATGGTTTCCTTACCATAACAATATAACTAAAATTAAATTAATTTTATTAGGTTAAACTTTAACTCTAATAAACTTTAATTAATATCTACATAAATTGTACCCTGCTCTTTGAGTGGTTCTGTCTGGCAATTTAGAAACTGGTTGTTTGCGTCAAAATTGATTTCTTGCCATGGTTGCCAATGGGAATCGTCATTTGAAACTGACGACTGCGTGGAAACTGATGCTGGTGTACTTGAATACAGTGTGGAAGTAGAAGTTGCAGGTTTAATATTCATAACTTCGTTGTATAAAATTTCTTGAAATTTAATCTTTGTCCTAATTTTTTGTGGTCTGGATAGGGACTTCAAATCAGGCAATAGACTTTTTAAAAACATCAAGTCTTCATCGTCTTTTTCTTCATTTTGTAACAATTTTATTTTTTTTGCCTCAAGATTTAATAACTCTTGTCTGAACTTGGTCATTGATGTTTTACTTTTTTTTGATATTTTGCTTGTATACATGGGTTTTTCTCTTACAATGCTTCCCGTCGATTGAATAATGTCGTTGTCATCTTCACATATTTCTTCTTCGCTATTTTCGTCGACATTTAAATGAGAAAAATCGCCAGAAGTATCTTGTGGAGCATTTTCAACGGAGTTACTAGCGCTCTTCAAGTTTGTCAAGTTTGTAGTTCGAGGGCGCGTTTCCATCGTGTCCTTTAAATAATTTAAACACGGGAATAATGGCCAGGTGGAAGAGGTTACTTCGTCTGCACCAGCCCCTGAACGTCCTGATGATACTTTTTTCAATTCAGCTCTATAATAATCTCTAATGTTTTTCCATTTGCTTTTTAACGTAAGAACTGAAATTTAACGATTGGTATACTTTAATTTAATTGGTTAACTAATTTTGTTAAATGTTATATTAAATTATTAAATTAGAATTAGGTATCAAAACATATATTTTTTAAACATATTTTTGTTGTTATTATTATTATTTTAGGTATTTATCATCTGGATGCAGTTTCAGAAGTTTAGCGTTCACTTTTCGTATGGGTAAAACAAGTGTTGCGAGAATTGTAGTGGAGACATGTGAAGCTATTTGGAACAAATTGTCTACAGATTATATACCGGAACCAACGAGTGATGACTGGAAAGCAAATGCAAATGATTTTTGTACTAAATGGAACTTTCCTAATTGCCTCGGAAGTATAGATGGCAAACATATACGAATCGACCAACCTCAACATTCTGGGTCGATGTATTACAATTATAAACATTTTTTTTCAATAAATTTATTTGCGATTTCCGACGCTAATTATAAGTTTATAGCAGTGGACATTGGTGCATATGGTAGAGAAAGTGATGGCGGAGTTTTAAGAAATTCAGTATTTTTCAAAAAACTCCAACAAAATCAACTAAATATTCCAGAAGATGTGGAACTACCCAATACCAACATTAAAGCACCATATACATTTATAGGTGATGAAGCGTTCCCCCTTTTAACAAATTTATTACGACCTTATCCTGGAAAGCAACTGTTGAATGACCAAAAAAAGAAAATATTTAACTACAGACTATCAAGAGCTAGACGTACGGTTGAAAATGCATTTGGAATTTTATCCTCAAAGTGGAGGATATTAAACAAGGCAATTGAAACAAACGTTGAGCACGCCATCACAATTACAAAAGCAGTATGTGTTTTGCACAACTTAATATTGAAACACGATCAACTAAGCAATCCAATTGATAATTTGGAAGAACAGAGGACTATATTCAAGAACACTGTAGGAAGACAAAATAATAGATTTGGAAGATTAGCAAAAGATTCAAGGGAACTATTCACTGAATATTTTAGTAGTGAGGCTGGGTCTGTTCCTTGGCAATTGGACTATATATAAATGTTTCATTTTAAATATTTTACTACCTACATATTCTACTATAATTATTTATTTTGTAATTTTAAAATGTATACTTTGTATTAGTATTGAAATAAATATGCTTCTTCGTCAACAAAAAAATAATTATAAGAACAAATATTTACGGGTTAATTTTTTTTTAGGTATATTTGTATTCTAAATTTAAATTTGTATCCTAGTATAATTATATGAATCACTAGTTTCTAATAATATTTAGATTCATATAAAATAATATTGCTGTATAAAAAACCCGTCACGTAAGCAAATACGAAAAGATAACAATTAAAAATAACTTTATCAATAATTTATTTTTACGTTGTGGCTGTATAACATAATCATGACCACATTTTAAGTTATGATAAATTTGTGTCTAATAGTTCGTATAGTTATTTTTATTTATTTTTTACTGCAATACTGCATGTAGGGACATGTACATCCGTGTCGTGTACTCGTGTGGTAGGTGCTGTAAAATGTTATATTTTCTAAAATAATTTCTATATTACTACAGTACAAATTATATCAAAAATATAAATATAAGATATTATTATAGATTTATAAAATAAACATAAATATATAACATTAATTAATTAAAATACCATTCATGTTGAGATCCTTTTCAACGTTGGACCAACATTTTTGGATCTTGGTCCTATTTTTGTGATCGGGGTGTCTAGGATTCCAAATAGCTTCCTGAACGAAAACAGCGGCAGCTATTTGTTCGGACACAACCAACGTTGAAGACATTTTGACAACGAATGTCAAGTTTCAACGATTAATCGCCGAATATCAAACTATTTTGTTCTTTCAGCGATTGCCGCGCGTGTAACGCTACACGCGACACACGACACGCGCTCTATGGGGCCATTACATATGAATTACATACTTTTTTTAAAATCGCTAAAACGCAAAATCGCTACACGCCATCGCAAAATCGCAAATCGCTTCCAGTGGGGCCGCAGCTTCAAACTAGCAGCAGGTAATTTAAATAAATACAATTTACTGGCCGAAAAATTATGTTGTATTCACAATTTAGTATTTACTTGAACTGTTTCACAAAAATATTAAAAATATAGGTAGTACCTATAAATATACCTACCAACATTTTAAATTATTGTCAATATATATACAGTGTTATAGGGAAATTATACAGGAAATCTTTATAATTTGTGCACCCCTAAAAATATTGGTCTAGTGACGAGACACTATTATTCTTCGAGTCTGAGCGGAGCGTTGAATGTATTGGTTTAAGATTTAACAATGATGTGTGTCTTATTTTTATTCTTATTTTTGTGTCTATAATAATAGGTATTTATACTCTGTATACAGACATATATTTTTATTTTATTTGTGTATGTGTAAGTACACAACAAGTTGTAGAAAGAATACTTCAATTTTAAACTTTGATGATGATGGTTGAATGGTTTCTGATAGAAGTTTATCAAATTGATACAATTAAGAGATAAAAATTTAAACTTCCTAGTGCTTTTATTAATTATTAAAAATAGGATTAAACAACAAAAAATTAAAGAAAACGATAGTTTGACAAAATCAATAGGTATTATTTTGTTTGGTATATCTAACTCAGAAGTCAATAACCAGTCTTGTGAAGTATTCGAACACAAGTATTCAATAAAAGTATTTGAATACTTTTTTTGTATTCGAATACTATTTTAAATACTTTTTTTAAATAGTATTCAAATATGTATTCTGAAAACTTTTATTTGTATTTTGTATTCATTAAAAAAATACCTTTTTCCGATCCAGAAAAATAGTTTTAAATTTGGGACGAGACATAGGTATTAATTAATCAATCAATTAATCATGAACATTTATTCTTCAAACGAAATATAATTTTGGCCCATGATATGATTATTTTTATAAACACCAATGTGTCGTATCCCGTATGGCCTGTATCGGCCGTATCATATATGGTCAACATTTATAAATAACTTATAATTACGATTTATTTTTAATTAAAATTAGTAAATGTTAATTACCAACCATTCAAAAACTGACAAAAACTAGTTGTGAAAAAAGTATTCGAATACATATTCTGTATATATTTTTTAAGAACTATTCGAATACGTATTCTGAATACCTTAATTCTCATTTATATTAACCATATTTCTCCTAAATCGATTTTTAATATTTTGTTGTAATTAAAAAATAAACGTGTGTCGACACTTAACATTTTCACCAAATTTCTATTTTATCATTTAATATGCATAGCACCATATTTTAAATTTTTGACTGAGTTATTTATAGCCATTTTCAATTTAGACATAGTATAAGGAGGGGGCGAGCAGGTTATGTATTATAAACATTTAATATATTACGTATATACATTAGACGTATAGTATAGACGTATAGTAGCTACTGACTACTGTTTATATTAAAATGGGACACGATTAGCCTGGGCCAAGGCCCATTTGGCCCAGGCCGTAATCCGCCTATGAAGGCAAGTCATAATTTTCAAACAATTTTGATTTTGAAATATGATTTTTTTTTTGCAATTTTGTTAATAACAGTAAGCAGTTGTTTAGAAATACAGTTTGGAGGTCCATGGCCCCTAGGCCTCCCGGAGCCGCC